TGTTATGTAAAATTATTTATTTATCTAAGATGCACCTACACTGAATTTATCTAAAAATAAAAAAAGTCGATATTAAGAAAAAAATTGTAAATGGAAGATTATAAGAGAGGGTTTCGCATGCCAGCAAAAGTTACTGGCATGCCATGTTTGGCACGCGTGCCAGGGGTTGCCCACCCCTGCCTTAGTGCCTGGCAGGGGCCTGGGACTGCTATTGAATGAATGGGTGGGAAATGAAGAAGCAGACGGGGTTCAGAGTGGGCGTGGCTTTCAGTTCTGTCTTAAGAACGTTAGACTTTGTTCTGTAGGCCAGAAGATTTAGCCTGGGTCTGTAGGCCCATGAATAGAACTCAGGGGGTGAGTGAATATGAATGGGGAAAACTACATCTCATTCTCACATCCAGCTGAGATTTTGCATTTTCTTCCATGATGAATGTAGGCAGTAAACCCAGTAGTATTAGCAAGACCTGTGACTTTGTTACCAATAAAAATAACATGGGCTTTTTCATAGTCATTACAGATATTCCCTTAAAACTATGGTAGCTTCCAGGCATGCTGCCCAATTTTATTCAATGCAGCAGTTAGCAAACTATGATTCCTAGGCCAAGTCCAGTTTGCAGCCTGTTTTTTGGGGGGGGGGGCGGGGGGGGGGGTTTTTTTTGTAAATAAATTGTATTGGAACCATGCCCCCTTTTTCATACACAACAGCAGAGTTAAGTAGTTGTGACAGAGAAAAAGTTTGCTGATCCTGATTTAACGCACTGATAAGCGTATATGTGACTATAAAACAAATTTGGTTTTTAAAATATTTTGAAAAACTCTATTTCAACATAGTTATTTTCCTGTGTGATCCTATTTTACTTTCTGTATTTACAAACATCATTCTGCAAAGTCCGGAGGCTTCGTCAGGCCCAAGGTAAGAGCTCCTGCCCAGCCTGGTGACTCACAGAGTGACCGGGGTTAGGGTCACCTGATCCAAGATTGTTCAGTCAGCATAAAACCTCCCCAGCCCTTCTGCTGGCTCTGCTGACCTGCGTCCATCAGAGGATTTGGGATTCCATGGGCCCACCCAGGGCGCCTTCGCACATCCTCGCGTCTGTACCCAGAGCCACGCTGGTGTCTCTGGCCTCACCCACCGCCTCTGCCCTGGCAGGGTCGTCTCCATGTGCAAATACTTCCAGGAGAGTGTGAAGGAGCTGTCACTCGACTACTACAACACACTTCGCAGACACAATTACGTCACCCCCACCTCCTACCTTGAGCTGATCCTAACCTTTAAGACCCTCTTAAATAGCAAGAGGCAAGAGGTTGACATGATAAGAAACCGCTACCTGACAGGCCTGCAGAAACTCCAGTTCGCAGCTTCCCAGGTGAGAAGGGCCACCACAGAGCAGGGGCGGAGGCTGAGGGCCGGTGGGCGCGGGGGGCCTTGTCCAGGTGCTGCATTCAGGCCCAGCATCCCCGCCCGCAGGACGCCCTCACAGCCTCCTCCCAAGCCCAGCACATTGAGTTGTCTTTACTCAAGATTTTAATAGTTTGTTCATCGTGGATTTGGGGGGCATTAATTTTGACTTAAAATATTGCAACAAAATACTATGTATCGTGGTACTCGTTTTCTGGTGCCCCCTTGAATATTGTGCCAAGGTGAGTGCCTTGCAGGCCTACCCAGGCCCTGGCCCTGCCAGAAGCCACTGGTCAGGATGAGGCCACGGTTAGGAGCAGGCTCTGTGCCATCAGAGTCCTGGGCTCCAGTCCCAGTTCTCAACTCACCGGCTTCTTGGGACCTCAGTGTCCTCTTCTGTTGGTAGGTGGTAGTCCGTGCTTCGTGGGCTGTCGTGAGGATTTGAAACGCTGACACAAATACCAAATGCCTGGCGTATGAGTTTGTATTCATTTGTGCTTGGACAGGCCATCTTGACAAGCCAACTAAAGTGAGAGCCACATTAAGATAGGGATTTTCAGCACCAGCACAGGTCCGAGACAACTGAATGCTTGCCAGTAGGTTGGCCCGTTGCTGAGCCCAGCAAATCCATGAACACTGCAGCCCAGGGCCGGGGAGGCCGTATGGGCATCCTTCATGCTCTGTTCCTAGCTCTGAGCCGGTCCAACTGGGATCCTTTGCTTTTAGAGAGAGAATGAAGGTGGCAGGTCACTCCCCCTGAGCCCCCCAGGCCCAGGGCTGCGTATAGGAAAGCTCACCTGGAGATACCAAGACGCAGAGGCCAGGTGACTGTCCACAGTCACGCAGCCCAGTGAGTCAGTGCCCCAAGAGGTCAGGCCGGAACTGAAAGTCAGACGCATGGTCCAGAGCCCGTGTCATGGCCAGGCCAGGGTGCCTGCGTCTCTCCCCGCGCTTCCCGGGCCTGGGCGCAAGGTCACAAACCCTCTTCACATAAGGACACAGAACCAGGGGGGGAGTCCCAGCTCTGCATCGGGAACATCTAATGAATTGAGTTGCCTGAGAAACGGCACCCCTCCCTCAGCAGCAGCCAGCTGCCTCCCATCAGAGGTGCTCACACAGTTCGAATGTTTAGAGAGGGAAACGGCCTGCAAGTCCCTTCCATCCCAGGCATCTCAGCCGCACTCACGTGCTTCCTTCACGGACTTGGAAACAATGTAGGAGCTCGTTGATCAGAGCGTCAGCCGATACGCCAGGGTTGCAGGTATGATCCCCGAACTCGGCACACACAGGAAACAATGCATAAATACATGGAACAGCAAATCGCTGTTTCCCTCTTTCTCAAACAAATAAATGAATGGATAAATGAAGTGGATTTCCTTCTAACTTGCTCTTGCTCTCCCTCTCCTGCCCCCAACACTAGAAGGTGGGATCAACAACGAGAAAGGCCTTTTGATATGTTTTAAGTTTATGTGTCTAGTGCCGAGCAGGGTGCCCGGAATCTGCAACGCCTGGTGTGAACCTCACTAAGCATTGAAACATCCAGGCGACTCCAGCCAACAACAGACCCCAGTTATGCTGCAAATGCCTAGGCTGGAGGATGGTTCAGACCGGCCTCGCGGTCATTTCACAACGTCACGCTCGCTCCCTGTCTCCTTGCCAGGTGGCCGTCATGCAAGTGGAGCTGACGGCACTCCAACCCCAGCTCATCCAGACGTCCGAGGAGACCGCCAACATGATGGTGCGGATCGAAGAGGAGACCATAGAAGCCGATGCCAAGAAGCTCCTGGTGCAGGCGGATGAAAAGGAAGCCAACGCCGCTGCCTCCGTTGCTCAGGGCATCAAGGTATAAAGATCCGGGAGGCGGGGAGCCCGCACAGCTCTGCGGGAGGTGTGGTCGTGTGGTCGGCCCGTCCTGCAGATGAGAAAAGTGAGGCTTGGAAAGGGCAGCGACTGTCTCAGCAGCGCCAGCCGCTGGGTGATGAGCTCACTCCCTGCCCCTGGCTGTTTCCAGGGAGCCGGACCGTGTTAGTCTCTGTCTCTCAGAGTCAAGGCCTACGAGACCCAGTATGACCGACCCTCGTCTCTAGGAGCCCCTCACTCTGCTTTGGCCATGCTGGTCTCCTGCCTGTTCTTTAAAAACACACAAGGCACACTCCGCCCAGGGCCCTGCACCGGCTGGCGGCTCTGCCCAGAGCACTCTTCCTCCAGCCTGGACACCTCTCTCCTCCATCACGTCTTTGCTCACGTGTGCCTGGCATGTCATAGGGTGGAACGAACGTTTGTTGAGGACAGATTGTTGACCTAGAGAACTCCGTTTGCCAGTCCTGGGCAGGCGTTTCCTGCTCAGCTATTGGAGGAAAGCCTGGCTGGCACTCCCGTGAAGCTATATATTTCTCAAAGCACTTTCAGCTGCACAGCTCCACTAGCGCAGCCCGCAGCCCGGCAGCCTTGGGCACAAGAGTGACAGGACAGTACCCGAGAGTCAACAGCATGCACTTCCATAGCTGCACAGCCAGTCGGCGGGACCGGACCCAGGGTGTGGCACTTAGCGTAGCAGACTTGTCCCAACGCTCCCAATTAGCAGTTAGAAAACCCTTTTGGCCGTTCTTACAGCAGGAGCTTGAGCCAGTGTCTGGCTTCCAGGGTGAATAAATAACGGGGCGCCTCCTCCAGGACAGGCCGTCCAGACGGCTCCCTTCAACGAGCCTGAGGCCTGGCCTCTCGGAGCTGCCCTGGGTCCAACCCCTGGTCCCAGTGTCACACAGTGAGGGTGTGGCCCAGGCAGCCGGGGACGCACTGTGACACACGCTTTTTTCTTTTATGATCTTGGAATAATTATCGACTTTTCAAAATCAAGAGACTGCAAGTAAAATGTCTAAAGTGTCAGCTTTTCTGAGAACAAAAGTCAAGCATCGGCGACACGGGACCCCCTTCCTGGGAGCAGCCGTCAGGCGTGGACGGCGCTGCCCGTGGGTGTCCCGTTCACAAGCCGCCCGCCCCCTGCCGGCGTGTCGGCTGGCCTGGAGCTGGAGGCACATTAGTTTGAGCTCCTCCTGGTAGAATCAGGCACCTCAGGGCTCAGGATTTGCTCAGCTTCCTCACTGTAACCTGGGGAGACAGAGGGGATACAAAGGCATGTCGCATGGTCCAGCACACCGAGCTCGAGGGCCCGTGTTAACCACCCCGACAGGGGGCCTTTACCCTGTACCGGGACTTGCCTGGAGGAAGGCCAGCCTGTCGCCACGCGTGGGTGCCTCACAGCCAGGCCTCTGCTCTGCAGTGTGAGGGGAGCAGAGGTCCCTGGGCAGGAGGGGCAGGGAGGGTGCAGAGCGACCCGCACACTCACTCCTGGTTTGGCTGGGAAGGGAGGGCCGTGCTCTGCCATCCCCCAGGACAGGAGTGAGGTCGGGAGGTGAGTCAGGGGAAGGAGGCTGTGCTGTGTGAGTGCCTGAGGCTTTATGGGGAGCCCAGTCCCTTTCTGAGCCCCAAGGGCTGCAGTCCTGGGCTGGTTTCACCTCCTGAGGGAGACCCTGGAGGGCGCCCCACGAGGAGATGAGGGGACTGGCTGACAGAACGCAGGCCCCACAAGTACAGCAGTGGCTTAAACTGGCTGATTCTTTTAAGTTAATGAATCATTTTTCCTAGTGAGGACAAGTGATGCCAGGATTACTGCAGGGCTGGGCACATTCCAGCAGTGTCACACAGCCCTGCTGGGAAGTCAGCTTGAGCCCTGGCCAGTGTGCTCAATGGTTAGAGCGTCTGCTGTTGCATCAAAGGCTCTTAGGTTTGATTCCCAGGCAAGAGCATGTACCTAGGTTCGATCCCTGGCCCCGGTGAAGGAGTATTCAGGAGGCAACCAATCAATGTGTCTCTCTCACATTGATGTTTCTCTCTCTCTCTCTCTCTCTCTCTCTCTCCCTCTCTCTCTCTTTCCCTTTCTTTCCCCCACCCTCCTCCCTTCCACTCTTTCTAAAAATTAATGGAAAAAATATCCTCAGGTGAGGATTAACCAAACAACAAAAAACAAAAGAAGTCAACTTTAACTCCGTTTCCATCATTGCCATCAATCATATCATGGTTGCAATTTATGTCGTGCTTTTAAAAAAATTTTTAACATCATATCCCAAATGTCATAGAGTCGCTTTAATGACCATGTTAGGCAGACAGTTTACCATCAAGTAGCCCCCCTCTGGCCCTGCCCCCTCTCGGTGCTTTGGGGTGCCCTGGGGGTGCCCCGGATTTGCCCCAGGAAACTGCAGAGCAGATTCACCTGGAGCTTGAAGTGCAGTGCCCAGGCCCCACCCAAGCCGAGGACCAGACTCTCTGGGGGGCCTGGGGAGGGGCACCCACTGCACTCAGAGTTGGAATCACCTGGCAGCAATGTCACGATGAGAGCGAGTTTGAGACGCCCGACGAGCGAGCAGCGGGAACCCAGGCCTGGACCCTGAGGGAGAGCCGTGGCTGGGCCGCAGGGAGGCAGGGTGTGGGTCCCCGGCATGAACAGAACCAGGGCAATGTGGCGCCCCGGGCACCTGGGGACCCCAGAGCGGTGGCCGAGCCGATGCCTTCTGGTCCCTGCCCCAGCTCTGCAGCTGCTGTGAGGGAGGCAGGGCCAGGCTGGTTCTTCCTCTGCCTCCACTCGGTGCACATCCCGTGGCTGACGTGGGGGCCAGTGGAATGGCCCAGGCCTGGCCATTCATTTATTTAATACAGGGATATGGACATGGCTTGCTTATGGGTGGGGGGTGTTTGAATGTAATGGAGCTAAATAAATCATTGCTATCCTATATAATAATAGGGTAATATGCAAACCAACCAAACTGCTGAATAACTGGTCACTATGATGCGCACTGACCACCAGGGGGCAGACGCTCAATGCAGGTGCTGCCCCCTGGTGGTCAATGCGCTCCCACAGGGGGAGTGCTGTTCAGCCACAAGCTGGGCTGACGGCTGGCAAGCATAGTGGTCAACCTCTGTGGCAGCGGTAAGGATGTCCAACTGATGGCTTAGGCCGGCTTCCCACAGGGCACGGGCCTAAGCCATCAGTTGGACATCCCCTGAAAGCTCCCAGACTGTGAAAGGGCACAGGCTGGGCTGAGGGACCCCCCTCACCCCACCGAGTGCACAGATGTTGTGCACCAGGCCTCTAGTAGGTTTATAAGAGAGCGGAAAACCTATAATAAAGAATCCATGATACACGTACCCATACATGCATACATACACACACACATATGTGGGAAAGCAGGACCACCTGTGTCGGTTTGCCCATCATCATAACCTGCAGGATCTAGACGCCAGGGCTCGCTGCTCTGCCTCAGACTCAAGCTCCCCGTGGAGTCTGCTCACCAGCTGGGGATCACCTGGGCTGCGGGCTGCACTCCACACCGGCTGGGGATCGCCTGGGCTGCGGGCTGCCCTCCACACCGGCTGGGGATCACCTGGGCTGCGGCTGTGCTCCACACCGGCTGGGGATCGCCTCCACACCGGCTGGGGATCACCTAGGCTGCGGGCAAAGCTGGGAGTCAGGCTTGGAGCTTGGTGCCATACCTGACCAGCTGCGGAAACTGAGCTAACTCATTTGCTTCCTGAAAACTTGTTTTTCTTTTTCTTTCTTATTTGGTCATTAGACCTCTAACTACTCTATAAGATCCCTTCCTGTTCTAAAAGTTTCATAATGTTAAGCTTTCTTTTTTTAATTGAGATGTAACTCACATACCATTAGATCCACCCTTTTAAATTATGCAATTGTGGCTTTTCGCATTTTCACAGAGTTGTACAACCACCGGCATTATTTAAATCCAGAATATTTTCCTCCTCACAAGCAGCCCCCGACTCCCCTCCGGACCCTGGCAGCCACTCGCCGACTTCCTGCCTCACAGGATTTCTCTGCACATGCATGTATATGGGATCACGGCGGCCGGGGTTCTGTGTCTGGTTCCTGTCACTCAGCATGAAGTGTTCAAGGCTTATGTCTGTGTTATTTCATGAATCAGTATTTTTATGGCTGATATTTCATTGTGTTAATTTTGTTTTTAAATGAGGAAATAATGTCTCCTCCCAGATGTCACTAGCCAACTCCCGTCTCTATGCCTGTTCTCACTCCTACACTCGACCTTGCATCCCCCTGAGCCGCGTCCTGCCCCTGCCCCTCCCCGCTCAGCTCCCCGCACCTTCATCTTCCCTGGACTGGCCCTGACCCTCTTCCCATCTGTCACTCACCTGTGAAGACTCATCCTTCATCGCTCAACCCATCCTTGGTCCCCACTACATATATCTCTTGGGAATTTTTTTAAAAACAAAGGCTTGATTTTTTTTAATATTACAAACCATCTGAATTCCTAAATGTCCAAGGCATCCAGGCTGCAGCCCCCAAGGGCCGTGCCGGCCTCCCCGCACCCAGAGCCCTGGGCACCTTCCCGGAAGAACGGCCGTGGGCGGTGCCTCTGCCCACCCCCTCCCGGACGGTTTTCTCCAGGAGCAGAGCCTCATCCTCCCCGTGCCAGGCATGCCAGGCGCTGCGCTCACCCCTTTGTCCCCGTGTGCCCGCAGGACGAGTGTGAGGGGGACCTGGCCGAGGCCATGCCAGCACTGGAGGCCGCACTGGCTGCGCTCGACACCCTGAACCCAGCGGACATCTCCATGGTGAAGTCCATGCAGAACCCCCCCGGCCCCGTCAAGCTGGTCATGGAGAGCATCTGTGTCATGAAAGGGCTGAAACCTGAGAGGAAGCCGGACCCCAGTGGCAGCGGTAACCCGCCCAGCGCGTGGCGCCCGCGTGTGCACACACACACACACACACACACACACACACCCACACACACCCCCGCAGGCAGTGTGCGCAATCTCGGAGGAAGCGAGAGGGGCGCCAGGCTGTGCGTGCGCTCCAGACCAGAGAGCTCCCTGTGCCTCCTCACCGCCCCTCTCCTCCCAGGAGCCAGGAAAATGCTGGTTTCGCAGGAGAGCTGAGCAGTCAAAGCTCCTGCCTGCAAATCATTACAAAGACGAAGGTCAGGGAGACCCACAGGCACATAGACACAAAGAGATCATGAACAGGGAGAGATCCGAGGGAAGGAATTAGGGGGCAGATGGAGACAGCGACAGAGAGAGAGGATGGGGGACAGACTCAAGCACAGTGTCAAACAGAGAAACGGGAGAGAACGACATGGAGGCTGTGAAGAGAAACAGACAAAGACAGAAACACAAAGGCTGCCAGTGAGAGAGAAATGGAGAGGGACGCAGAGGTACAGAGAGAGAGAGACATGCAAACGTAGAGCAAGGGGAAGAAGAGAGAGACAAGGAGACACAGACACTACGGGAGAAGAAGAGGGAGGAGGAATATGAGATGGTAGAGGAGAATCTGAGGCAGAGAGATGAGCAGAGGGAGGCAGAGGCAGACTGGGAGGGAGGTGGGGAGACAAGGATTCCAGGGGAGAGAGGAAAGCGCCTTATATAAGTGAGACTAGCCGCATTAATAGGTAAATGTTCAGTCTCCTTAAAATCAGATTTCCATGTAGGGTCTTGTATGAAGACAGGTGCCTTGGAATTGAACGAGGTTGAGGCTTCCACTTCCCATTGGTTAGCACTCCCTCTTTCCTGGTGGTGGTGGCCGAAGCCCCATGAAGGAGACGCAGAAGGAATGGGGAATGGACAAGCCGGTGTGGACTTGACAGGGGGCCGTTAGGGCAGCAGGTGCGGGGCGTTCAGTGGGGCTGAGCAAGGTGAGCCAGCCAGCACATCTCCACTCGGGGCACCCAGGACCCGCGGGGCATGAAGAGGCTGAAGCCCGGCCCCGCCGGCGCCTCTTTGAGAGCCGTGGGGATCCTCACTCCGTTGGTCTGGGCATGGCCTCTGTGTGAATTAGCATTTTATTTTATTTTTTTGAACTCCTGTGTGGTTCGAAGGTGCAGCTGGGGGTGAGAACGGTGCACAAATCATAGCCAGGTCCCAGCAGTCATTTCTCTTCTTGGATCATTGATGATCCACACAGGACCCATTGTTCGCCTCTCTAGCTCAAAGGTAAAGCAAATTGTGTGCACTACTCACTTACCCTGCAGCATTCAGCCCGGACAGTGGGCTGCAGTTAGTTTTGGGCATCCTGGATTTACATGGAGCGGGTCACTCTCCTGACGGTAAACAAAAACCTCCATGGGAATGTTTGATCGCTGTGCTTGAGTTAGAAACAGGACACATTTGCACTGTTGTAATTAATATGATGCCTCAAGTACAGCTTTTTTTAAATGCTCACCCAAGGACTTTTTCATTGAGTTGAGAGAAAGAGGAAGGGAGAGAGAAAGAGAGAGAGAGGAGGGAAAAAACAAACATCAATGTGAGACAGAAACATCAATCGGTTGCCCGACCGGGGGTGGAACCTGCAACCTAGGCATGTGCCCTGACCTGGAATCAAACCCTCCACCGTGGACGACGCTCCAAACAACTGAGCCCGTAGCCAGGACTCATGGACGCTTGTTAGGATGAGCGATGGTTACAGTGCCATGAGCCAAAAGGCCTCCAACCTTTCCAACCTGTCAGCCTTTTAGGAGCCGCCTGGGATGAGGTCAGGGCTCACTCAGCCCGGGGTCAGCGTGACGAGGGCTAAGGAGAACAGGCCCGGCTTCGTCTTGGGCAGGTGGCAGAGGGCCTCTGTCCAGCTGCAGTCTTCTTCCCCCCACCGCCTTCTCTTGGGCCCCCACTCACTCACGAGGAGGACGCTTTGGGTTCGTTCCATCCAGTCCACCTCCCAGACACGAAAAAGAATATTTAAAACACATGCCATGACTCCTTTGCCCTCTCCATCTATGGCTGGGATGAGGGGCAACATTCATTCAATACAGACCGATGACCGAGTCTCAGGCACTGTGCGGAGAACAGTAAACACAGACCCCTCACCGCTGTGAGGGAGAGGCCGCAATAAAAAGTAAGCAAAATGTCACAGCTTGCAACAGATGCTGTAAAAAGAACAGACGCTCTAGCTGCTGGGATGAAGGGCAATGCTGTGGGAGGGGTGCAGGGGCCGCTCGTTGGGGCTCATCTAGGGAAACCCCTCTGTGGCCCGTGAGGGTGGTTTCTAAAATGAGCCCCCAGTCTGGTCAGGAGCCAGCTGCAGGCACGCACAGCTCATGTAGGGAAGCCTCGGACAGCGAGGCGTTGCAGGAGGCCCTTCGTGACTGGCGTCCGAAGAGCAAGGCAGCGATGAGGGGTGAGGTCAGTAGGCCTCCCAGACCATGGTGAGGAGCTTAGACTTTCCTTTTCTTATTTAGATTTTGTATCTTTAAAGCAGCTTTAAGTTCACATCAAAGAGGTTTCCCATATTCCCCTGCCCTCACCCATGCACAGTCTCTCCCGTCCATTATCAACACCCGCCACCACAGCAAACCTACACGGACACATCATAGTCACCCAAAGCCCATAGTTTACACGACTGAATGCCCTTGGAGGAGCACATTCTACGGGTTTGGACAAACATATAAGGACGTGTCCATCGTTATGGTATCATACAGAGTATTTTAAAGTCCTCTATAGGATTTGAATTTTTTTGCCAGATCTGAGGAACCGTCACTGCAAAGCTTTAAGTCTCAGCCAGAAATCTTAATGATAGTCTTATTCCTTTGCTCACTTGACAGGCAAAATGATAGAAGATTACTGGGGGGTATCAAGAAAAGTTCTTGGCGATCTGAAGTTCCTGGAGAGCCTTAAGACATATGACAAAGACAACATCCCCCTAATAATCATGAAACGGATCCGAGAGAGATTTATCGACCACCCAGATTTCCAGCCGGCCGTCATTAAAAACGTGTCATCTGCCTGTGAGGGTCTGTGCAAGTGGGTGAGAGCCATGGAGGTGTACGACCGCGTGACCAAGGTGGTCGCTCCCAAGCGGGAGCGGCTGAAGGAGGCAGAGGGGAAGCTGGACATCCAGATGCAGAAGCTGAACCTGAAGAGAGCAGAGCTGAAGCTGGTGGAGGACCGCCTCCAGGCCCTGAACGATGAATTTGAGGAGATGAACATCAAGAAGATGACCTTGGAAGAAAACATTGATATCTGCTCCCAAAAGCTCATCAGGGCAGAAAAGCTCATCAGCGGTCTTGGGGGAGAGAAGGACCGATGGACAGAGGCTGCCCGGCAGCTGGGGATCCGCTATACTAATCTGACCGGGGATGTGCTGGTGTCTGCGGGGACTGTGGCTTACCTAGGGGCCTTTACCGTGGATTATCGGGCCAAGTGCCAAAATCAGTGGCTGGCCCAGTGTAGCAAGAGGGTCATCCCCGGCTCCAGTGACTTCAGTCTCAGCAACACGTTGGGGGATCCCATAAAAACCCGAGCCTGGCAGATGGCCGGGTTGCCTGTTGATTCCTTCTCCATCGACAATGGCATCATTGTGTCCAATTCCAGACGCTGGGCCTTGATGATTGACCCTCAGGGGCAGGCCAACAAGTGGATCAAGAACATGGAGAAAGTGAACAAGCTGTCTGTCATCAAGTTCTCGGACAGCAACTATGTGAGGACACTGGAGAATGCCCTGCAGTTTGGCACCCCTGTCCTACTAGAGAACGTGGGGGCAGAGCTGGATGCCTTCATTGAGCCCATCCTGCTCAAGTCCACATTCAGGCAGCAAGGGGTCGAGTACATGAGGCTGGGTGAAAACATCATCGAATACTCCAAGGACTTCAAGCTATACATCACTACCCGCTTGAGGAACCCACATTACCTCCCTGAAGTCGCGGTGAAAGTCTGCCTCCTCAACTTCATGATCACCCCCCTGGGCCTCCAAGATCAGCTGCTTGGCATCGTGGCTGCCAAGGAGAAGCCAGAACTGGAAGAGAAAAAGAACAAGTTGATTGTGGAAAGTGCCAAGAACAAGAAGCAGTTAAAGGAGATTGAAGACAAGATCCTAGAGATCCTCTCCTTGTCTGAGGGCAACATCCTTGAGGATGAGACGGCCATCAATGTGTTGTCCTCCTCCAAGGAGCTGTCTGAAGAGATCTCCGAGAAACAGGAAATTGCTTCGGTGACAGAAACGCAGATCGACCAGACTCGGATGGGCTACAAGCCGGTGGCTGTCCACTCTGCCACCGTCTTCTTTTGTATCTCTGACCTGGCCAACATCGAGCCGATGTACCAGTACTCCCTGACATGGTTCATCAACCTCTACATGCAGTCGCTGGTGCACAGCAAGAAGAGTGACCAGCTGGACCTGCGCATTGAGTACATCATTGAGTACTTCACCCTCAGCATCTACAACAATATCTGCCGCTCTCTGTTTGAGAAGGACAAGCTGGTTTTCTCCCTCCTCCTGACCATTGGCATCTTGAAAGAGAAAAAGCTAATTAACGAGGAAATTTGGTACTTTCTCCTCACTGGCGGCGTGGCCCTGGACAACCCCTTCCCCAACCCAGTTTCTGAATGGCTGTCTGAGAAAGCGTGGGCCGAAGTGGTTCGTGCATCCTCGTTGTCAGGATTGAATGGCCTGATGGAACATTTGGAAGAAAATGCTGATAAATGGAAGCTCATCTATGACTCAGCATACCCCCACGAGGAGAAGTTCCCTGGCATTTGGAAGTTCCTTCAAGGGTTGGAGAGAATGGTGATCCTGCGATGTTTG